CAAAATACTACGGTCAATCGTCTATAGACAGATGAAAGGCAATGATGCGAAGGTAAGAGAAACTTAACCACTTTTTAATTTTGTAAAAAGGACAAAGGCACAGCAGGAACTTGTACATTAAGAAGTGACTTCACTTACTGAAGAGGATAACTTCCTGATTCATTAACACTTCGAGACTATTAGTTTCAAATGTGAAAATACACCAAAGTAAAACGAAAACTAACGAAAAATACAATTTCAGAAAAACTGTGAACATCTGCGAAGTGAAATACCACCGATCGTCTAATTGTCGAGGGCTTTGTTGGTTGGTGAGTCAAATGCTCAATCCTTAGTATACTAACACGGTAAGCTCTCGACAAAATTACATTTCTATAATTCCCGATAGCAACAGAGTCAAGATGTGCGCGGTAAAATGAATATTTGGATGTATTATAAAGCTGAAAATTGTGGGATTAGTAAGAATTTGCAGATGACTGATTAAAAGAACGTTTCGCTTAGGTGTCGTCTTAAACAAAGAAACATTGACTTAAGCAATTAAAATAACTGCTAAGTTTGAGAACATCGAAATTCACAAATGAAAGGAAACTCAACAAGTTTAAGACTCCCAACCGACGAGTACTTGTCTTAAATGAAAAATCCAACAAAAATTGACTGTAGGTACGTAAAACAACCGGTTAGTTTGAGAAGGCAATCAATATTTACAGATATTCACAAATCGTAAGGTAATCCGGCAAGTGTAAGTTAATTAGCAATTTCCTTAACTGATTAACAACAGTATACTCAATCAATGCTGTCCGGAAAGCTAACTCGAAAGAATAGTCTATTTTCCATCGCAAGGAAAGTCATCCCTGTACCAACACATCGAAAAAAGACCTTTTTTAGCTTTTACTAAGTGCTACAAATCGAGAAAAGGGCGCCGGCGTTCATAAAATAATTTGGTTCAAAATGGCCTATTCAGACGCGCATCGCCCCAGAGATGTCGTAGTACATGTTCACCGGGGGACGGGTGATCGGGTGTTTTGTTTCGTCGGTATAGATGAAATGGAAAATATGCGACTCAGATTATAAAACAACCTCAGCTCTCGGTGAAAATTTAACGATTTCGTGCTTTGTCGGTGATAATACTTGAGGCATTCAACCAGTCAGGATCAAAATTTTAATATAATTTTAATATGGTTTTATTCTATTATTTACGTATGCCGGTTAGAGATCGAGAATGAATTCGAATAATCCAGACTCAATAATCGATTTTAAAGTGTTATAACGGAGAAAAAGAAGAGTTAACTTTCTGATGATTCATCGAAACTGAATATTTGCATAACTCGGTATCTTGACTCAATTGTGCATTTTAATGCGACAGCGCGCTGCCCGCAGAATTGGAAAAAAAAAAAAGAAAATCACTCAAACGATAATTCGCTGAATTACAATTGCAAGGAAACATAAAGCCTGGTGAGGCTAATAGATTTGCCAGAGTCCTACTGACCAGTGATTTGTTTCGTAAAAAGAATCCGTGTATTTGCAGATACTTAAGAAACAGATAAAATATAAACATTGCAATAGTTAACTACGTTAAAATGAAATTATGAAAAAACTTGTTCAATGTATTCGATGACATGTTTAATAATGGAAATATAGAAAAACCTTTAAACAAAAAACCCCGTGAGACTAAACAATCCTCGCCACTGACTAAGATATTTGATTGTCTTGAAACGTCAAATTTTCTTTGATAAACTGTAAACTTTTTGGACACTTTATCACGAAGTCTTTCACATAATGCAGAGATGCTATTGTCAGTGACAATATTGAGCAAACTTTGGAACGACCTGAAGGCGAAATTTTTCGACAACCAAGTCAAAATCGTCTGTGTTGACAAGTAGAAGAAAGTAAGAGTTCTTAATTCAAATTCTTAATTAAAAGTAAAAGAAAGCAATTACTCTTGGAGTAACAGGATAGTTAGGGCTTTATTAATTTAAAAACCAATTAACTGTATCGCTTTCAGTTTTAAATATAAAGTGAAAATAATGAAACAGGAAGTTAGTTTCAGTAAAGCTACGACTGAAAACACACTTCCTCCGGTTACGTTTATAAATATTTATTCGTCCCAGGTCATGATAATTTATATTTCGGACTTATAATTTTTCCTTTCCGCTTCGCTTTTATCGTGGGATTATATTTTAAAAGAAGGATTTTATTTTGCGATATTTTTCTCCAGACATTTGCCTACTCTGCTGATGTGATTTTCACCCGCTTCATTTAGAATATTCTATCTCAATTTTAGGGAGCTACATGTACTATTCAGGCCGCACTTACAGAGTCAAGTAAATAAATAACTAGAAATCCAAAAGTTGTAGGTACTAAAAGAAAACAGATTTGTCAAGGCTCCAAATTTAAACTGGGGCACAGGGGCAAATCGCTACCAGATTTCGCTTGTTTGGCCCTCTATTATTCGGTTAGGGGGCCGCTGACTTTGCTACTGTTATATGAGATGAAAAAAATGTACATGTAACAGTAAGGTGCTCCGCTTATAACCTTAGGGGCACCACAATACTAGACCTTCCAAAAGTAACATCAACAACTTTCGGCTTAAAATCATGGAGATACGCTGCATCGAAATTGTGGAACGCTACTGGTACCGGACGAGTCTCGAAAGATACAAACGTAGACTACTTTTAAAAACAACTTAAAAGCATTAGATCTCACGGGACTCTGAGTGCGAAGTGGATCTATCCTTAATCAATTTTTACTACTTTTAATGTTCATATTTTCTTATATATTTTACTTTTGACTACACTGTTAATTCTTATATTCTAATATAGCTAGTTCTTAATCTTAATTCATTTAAATTTATATACCTTCATAAGGCACTTATAATTATTTTTTTCTGTTTTTTTTTTTTTTTTTCGTGGCGTACCTGTAAACTAGCTTTTTAGCTAAGCGTACCGACCACGTTAAATACATTGATTGATTGATTGATTGGTACTAAGTTGAGTCGCTCTCCATTCTCTTGCTTATAGAATTTTTGTGAGACTCTGACTGGAAGCATTAATTACATTGCAGTGGAAACGCTGTTTTGCAAAACTAGTGGAACTCGCTTGTAAAACTTAGCCAATTTGTTATATTAATTTACTAGAGGCTTTAAATATTCGAATGATAATTCATTGATATCAGTAAGATAGACGCAAAAGTCCTTGACTACTGGCTAACGTGGCTTTATATTCTCAGATGTGAGCTAGACAAGATTCTTCAACCTATCAAAAGTATACATGGAGATATCAAAAGATGGTTGCCGACAAAATGTTAGCTTTAAATTATAATTGCTTTTGTCAGAGAATGCATGGAGTAGTCGAATGCGCTTTTCAACAGAACTGGTGGTTATATCGCTACCGCGATTGCTATTAAAAAAAAAAACAAGAAACAAGGAAGTCTCTCATTCTACATGTACATTTAGTAGAAAAATACTTTTCAATTTATTAGGTGTCACTTTTGCGAATGGTCTTATTTCAAGGGAAGAGTGTTTCTAACAAGCACAAACGGAATACATATACACAGCCGACGAAATTCCATCAACACAAGCGGATAATTTCTTCTCTACATTAATTGATTGAAGCCTAAATTTAAAAATAATACTTATGTAATTTGGCTTTGAATAGTATTGAGCAAGAAACCCTTTACGTTAATTAACTAACACCAACGATTAACTGTGTCTTATTTTGCCCAGCCATAGCCAGTTTAACTTATCAGTGATGTATATCAGAGCAAATTGAGGTTTCCTTCCAAGCAAATTGTTAAGAATTTCAAAAAAGGAAAACAATATTTATGCCATTTTATGATACATTATCAAGTCAACGTTACGTATTAACACGCACTCACTGTGCGAATGATGTCTGCCAAATTTTATTATTTTTATCAAGATGAAAAAAGACGCGTAAAAAACTAATGAATTGAATGTGTTAAGTGTTTGACCATTTGAATTGATATCGAAATTAGCAATATGAATTCAGCGGATACAAGATAGAGAGGAACTACTAGAATGAAACACCTACGGATGTTGCTTATGGCGAGCAATGTTGATGATAATTTAATATCAGCATATGAAAGACTTTGATGCACTGTCCCAAGATTCATTATTGTGGTGGTCAAATTCTCGCTTCAGTCAAAAGAACAAGAAAAAACCCTGGAACGGATTCGATTTGCGCCCGACTCACACACTCCTTAACTTTTTCTCAGACTTGAAGTGCAGTACCATATATATTTAATTGAAATTTTGATTTTGATATTTATTTCGAAATATTCCGTTTCGATATATTCGTCAATTTACGGCATAGGCACTAGTAATCAGTAGAATTGCGGAGCCATAAATCCAAAATAATAATGTGTTCTCTCGCTTAATATAATCGGAAGTCCTCACAAAAGAACGATCTCAAGTTATTCGCGAAAAGATTCGCTTTCACTAACACGTATGCAAAGTACATATATCGTAGATTGAATAAAGAACGGTAGTGTTCAGATAATGTTTGCGTAAGATTATTATTTTTTTTGAAAAACAAGTCAAAATCGTCTGAATTGACAATTCGCATTACAACAGAGGTCTTAACTCAAATCCTCCAATTATTCAAAAACCGATAATTGCCTCAATTTAAGTCTTCAAAAATAATATACTTTGTCGTCGAATTGCTAACGCTATGTTCGAATCGCTATATCACTACAAATTACTGTGAATTCCTGTTTACAAAAACTGTCCGCAATCTTAACTCTGACAAAAACGTGAAACTTGTTTGTTGCAACGTAGCGGGAAGTCGAATTCGATTTTTTTTCTTATTGGATAAAAACAAAACAACTGTCATCAGCATTATCAGTGATGTAATTTACTATTGAAACAGCTCGACTCATAGTCAACAGTAAACTGGTCCGAACACGAACCAAAGTCAACACAAAGGCTAAAAACTTAACTGCACACGTAACTTACTTATCATTCCTTTACAGCGAGTTGTTCAACAGGTGCTTGGAACAGAAAAGCAGTCCTTCGAGCTTAGAGGTACGATATTGTTTCTCTAATGTCCCTGCTTCTGCGACAAAATAGTTTTTTCAATATTGTAATGTCACCAAAATAATTCAAGCGTCTTGGCAAATCAGGCGAGTTTTATCTTACTTGTAAAATCCAGAAAAAATTATTCGATGCCATTCTAAATTCAGATAGAAATAAATCGCTCGCAAAATCCCTTCTCTATAATTTAGATGGCTTTACACATTTCGCCACTTGGCCAGAATTTCTCCAATTCAAAGCTAATATTGTGTGAGTTTGCTCTGAAAATTGGGAAACTTCCCATGCGTGGTTTAATCACCCGCACAGGTACAAAAAGCACCTGCATGAGGAAAAATACGCAACGTTTCGTTTGTAAAGTAGCACTATCCTTTCAACATTCGCTAGTACCCATTGATGCCAATTAGACATAATTTGCCCCAAGTGAACGAGATTAAATTCAATTTTCGCAGTATTTCCGTGTAAAGAGCACAAATCGGGTTTTAGCACAACACTGAAAAACAGCTTCCAGAGAGTTTGTGAATGTCACAAGTCAGTTCTTATAGATTAAAACAGCACCACTTGACCAAAATTTCAATTCAAATTTGTGAAAAGAAAGAAAACGTTTCAAAAAATAAAATCTCTTTTGTAGGATTTGCCATTCACCGTCATCCCCACAGAAATGTGTACTGACCTGGTCTTTATAATCGTTTTTCCGTAGCGAGATCGTGAATCGAAGAACAAAGAAATGGCCTTCATTTCACATAAAGTCTCTGTGATGTCCTTGTTGTCCCTGTCTGCGATGTTTTTGTTGATTTACTGTGTCACAGCAAACAACAAAACCAATCAACCATCGTACAAAATGGTGAGTTATTTTGTTACCTGAAAAATGTTAATTTCTGGTAAGAGTAAAACGACACTTATTGGCAAATATTGATTTATTTGCCATCGAAATTTCGCCAAAGGTGATATCTTTTTAATGTAGTAAAGTACTAAACCTTGAGAATTAAACTAAATAGAGAAAAAATCTCCATGAAAAAAAAAATTATATATATATATGTTGTAAAAATATATGATTGAAAAGCCTAAATAACTCGTAACTCTATTCATTCCATCACAGCAGCCTCCTCCTGTGTATTATGGTGGTATACCTGGTATGCACGGCAAGCCTGGTTCTCCTGGGGCACCAGGTCGGGATGGCCGTGATGGTCGTGACGGAGCCAAAGGTGACCAGGGCAGCCCGGGAAAGACTGGACCCCAGGGACCTCCAGGAACTCCTGGTATCAGTGGAAAGAATGGCGCTAAAGGAGAACCTGGAGTCCAGGGCCCTCCCGGCCAAAAGGGGCAGCGTGGAGAGAGAGGAACAAGTGGAATCCCTGGGACTCCTGGTGTGATGGATTACAGGAACTGGAAAGAATGCGCGTGGAAACTGAGTGAGGACAAAGACCACGGCCTGATCAAGGTTAGTATTTTCTTTTACCATTAAGCTTTGCGCCGGTCCTAACTAATCTTTACTGCTAAAGTGACTAAACTATTACATATATGAATATGATAATAGCTAGGAAATAAAAG